ACACGTATTTCATATGTCATGATTCAAGTGTCTTTACAGCTTCTTATGTCCTATGTGATTCTATTTAACTCGTCCAAAGTAACTTTCGAAAATTGATAATACAATATTTAACGTCGCAAAAACTATATAAACTTTTTTATATATGATGTTCTTTGCGAAACATGAGACAGTACTATCGAAGCCTCTGAAGAAAGTTAATTTGTTTCACGTTACTTTGCACAAATCGATTTAATAGCGCGTTAAAGTGAAATTATATTTAAACTGTAAATTTTTCTTTTACGGTTCTTTTTCTCTTTCTCCTTCTCTCGCTCTCTCTCTCTCTCTCTCTCTCGACAGCCAAGAGTTTGTCAAGTCAATTCTCAATTAATTTTCATTTTCCCGCTCTCCGTGTACTTCTCCTACAAACTACAGGACTATTTCACATGCAAACGAGCAAACGAGTAAATATTTAATTATTTTTATTGTATGTCTTCGGAACACTGCTGGACGGGGAGTACGCCGTCGCTTATTCGCGATATTGCACGGAAAATAAGGTTTGGTTGAATTAATCAAATATCTGGTCGTATGTGAACGATCCAGAAATTCCGATTGAAGTAATTCAATCGGATTCCGAATTCTGTTTAAATTAACAAGATTTTCGACTTCGGCTTACTTCAATCGGAATTTCTGGACCGTTCATATTCGACCAGATATTTAGTTAATTCAACCAAACCTTTTTTTCCGTGTGGGAGGGAGTCCAAAACCGCTGTGGGTTACCAATACCTAAGTAGAGAAAGATCATCGGTGGTGCAAGAAGCCCGAGGACGAGTGCAGCCGCCGCGACGTTCTTGCCGGAGGGCACATATACGATACAATTAGGCCTGATCTACAATAGATGGAGTAAGGAGTAGGAGTAAGACGAAATGGAAATAATTTATTTCGCTTACTCGCTTACTCCAGCTCCTTACTCCAGCTCTTACTACTTAATTCAGGCTTACTCCATGTGATGTAGACGGGAAAACTTTTATTGGAATAAGGGAGTAAGCGAAACAAATTATTTCTATTTCGCCTTACTCCTACTCCTTACTCCATCGATTGTAGATCGGGTCTTATATCCTCTGCGCGCGAAAGAGGAGAACACGAGCGATTATAGCGCGGCGCTACGCGCACAGTCGACGACGAGTTTTGCGAAACGAACGTAACGGCACGGACTACTTCCACTCGAGATGTATACACGGCACGTGTATGTGTGCGCGCGTGTGTATGCATTCGCATTCCGAACTTTCCTAAGCAATTATGTCATAACACACAACCGTGCCCCCCTTTCTTCAGCATCACCACATCTCGCCGCGCAAGCTGCCCCCGCCTCTCCGTCCACATCCGTCTTCTCTCGTCATTACTTACTCGAGAATCGAATTTCACGTTAATGATCATAAAGCGTCTGTCATTCGCGGCTAACGTGCATCCAGTGACATTCAGAAGTGCGTATATACGCGCGCGTGCGCTCTCACGCGTGATTGGCTCCCGCGAAAAAATCGCGCAAATTGCGAAAAGCACTCGCAGAGGGCTGAGAATCAGCGGCTGCAATTCGCGCGTACACACATTCGGATGTCCAGTTTCTACTGCGCGATCGTGCATCACTTGGAGAGTGAATTTTGCAAATTGCACAGGGTGCGCCATGACTTTTTGCCGTGCGAGATTCCCGCAGCAGGCGCAATAATATATCAATGCGTGCCGCGCGCGTAAACTTTCGCACGCCACCGTGCGAAAAATCGCTCAGCGAGCGTGTGTCTTTGGCGCGGCGGCTCGCGATGTCGCGAGCTTATTAACGCGTTGATTGCCGCCCTGGTTCTCGTTAGTCACGTCAGAGCATTAACTGCTGATTGAATTGCCGAAGGCGCGGCGGATGAACGCAGCTAAAGAAAAACGCGTGTATCTCTTACCTCATTCCGAGCGGCGCTCTGTAGTCGGCCGTGTGCGACTGACTTTTCTCAAACGTGATTAATTATACTTCAGATGTAACATAATAAGACGCGTTGGTGTCACAATATCGGCGTCCGGCGACCAGCACTCAGCGATCGATGTGCTGACGTCTTTCTTTCCGCGCAGGGAAACGGATCTCGGTTTCTCCCTCTGTCTCTTATTTTCCCTTCTCCGTTTCCTTTCTCATTTAATCTTGGCTTATTTTCTCCTTCTTCATTATTCACGTCTTTTGTTTCTCTTGTTGCTTCAGCAATATGCACGTCAACATTGGAACATAATTAGCGCAGTCAATACTCGTCTGCGAATATCGTTGTCAACTCAGAACTCACGTTCTGTATGCCTAATAGGTTTTATTCGAGATAAAATAAATATCTACTTCTTGCCGCCCCCTTTCTCTCTTTCTCTCTCTCTCTTTCTTATTTATTTTATTCCTCATCTTACTTTCCTCTGAATTTCTTTATTTTATTTTCCTTTCTTGAATCTGGATTTACTTGAAAGAACAATAAGAGGAAATGACTTTAAGTTTTTGTAATTTCAGAGAGAGCTTTATCCTTTTATATTTCTCTTTCTCAAATCTATCCTTTCTATGTTCGCATATATTTTCTTTTCTTTATACCTCCATATATCTATTTATATAATTTTTTTTCAACTAATTTAATTAGTTAATTTAGTAATTAGTTAATTAGTTAATTTTTATTTCTCTCCTATATACATTATTTTATATTAATCTCATTATTTTTAATGATACTAAACTTATGTGCATGTTATTATCACCATTTTCGTGTTAGAACAACCAACAAATATAGGCCAAAAATAACTATAATTTTAGTTAAATCAACCCTTTCTTTCTGTCGGTGTAGAGAAAATTACGCGAAGATTATATTTTATAATGTTCTGTGTAAAGCTAGACTATATTAACACTGTCATAAATACAATATAGTAAAAATATAAATAAAAACATAAATTACTGTAGAAATAGAAGAAATAGTAAATTTGTTGATCTATGGAATAAAAAAATCATTCAAGTAATTACAGTAATTTTATAACAGAATGTCAAACGTGCATGATATTTTTATGTAGCAATTCCGTACATAATTCTTGCATTACAAAGCAAGAATTATGACCGGAATTGTTCTCGCAGTACAAGATTACAAAATTTCGTAACTCTTATTGCAACACTTCCGCGTAGACTTGATAAACTCTTTTTTATCTGTCTATCTACTTCTCCTTCTAGCGATATATTCCGCGGATTGCTCCATCGCGGATTGCGATGACTGAAGCGGACTTCGCGGACGAATAACAACGAGGCTGCTCTCGCCGTTATGCGAATCTGCTCGCGAGGGCGCGACGTTTAATTATCCGTCTATGCCGAAAAGTAACACGGGCCACCGCCGACGACACGGATTTCGTCCGCGAAGGTACGACGGCCCCTCCGATCCACCGGCGGGCCGCGATCCTTCAGCGCCGTTATCCGCTTGCGGTAATTCCTTCGCGACCTTCGCAATTAAGCGGTTTATGAGCGGCGGAGTCTCGCGCCAGTTTCTTTCTTACGATCCTCTGCGGTTGGTATCCGCGTTCGCTCGCGCTTTGATTTACGATAATTGTCTCGTCGCGTTCGAAACTTCGCCGAATGGTTACCGGAGGAGAGGCGAATTCATGCAGCAACGCGTCAATCTGTTCCTCCTCTTCATCACCGTGTATACGTGAGAAAAACATATATTCGAAAATTTATTTGTGGGCTGCAACTTCTAAGAAGCAAAGTTTATTTCTAGGAAACGAAGTTTATCTCTGGGATACAAAGTTCATTTCTGTGAAACGAAGTTCAATTTCTGTGAGATGAAGTTCACCGGAATTTCGTGCCGATAACAAAATCCATTTTTCGGTGTAGGAAATCGACGTATATTGGGAAATTTTGGAAATTTATTTGTAAGATAGAAGTTCATTTCTGTAAAACAAAGTTCATTTCTGGGAAATAAACTTCTATCTTACAAGAGTAAGAGTAAATTTCTAAACTTACTTTTTTTCAATTATATGTTGATTTTCGACACCGAAAAATAGATTTTGTTGTCGATACAAAAATTTGGTATATTGGGTGAAAATTTGACTAAATTCCACCAAAAAATTTAATCACCGTTTCGGTTTTTTACTACATCTTACTTGACACAAATAAAGAACATGATAATATATCAATCCAAATGCATGTATAGATATTTTTTAGTTCTAGATACGAAAATAATTTTTTCAATGCAACGAGCTTTTTCACTCCGCTTTCCCATCCCTTAGCGTCGCTCGTTCACGGCGACCGTGGGACTTTAGTGACTCGTGAGGAAGATCGAAGATTAGTCTCAATCCTCAATGGACTCTAAAAGAAAGGAAAAAAAGAGGAAGATTTCGACTTTCGAACTTTCAACTGAATGCGGGCACACGTCGGCGGAAAGTTATAAACACGCTGGCTTGTTAGGACGACTGAAAATGGAAAGTCGAGCTCGACCGGAAGGAAATCGCGATCTGCCACTTCCCCCCCGCGTCGGAAGAAATGGCACATGCCACGGCGCGGAATTCGTTACCATTAAGCGATGCTTGCGATCTAACTGGACGCGACGAACGCGGTCTCGCCGTCGCGAAAATTCGCGGCACAACGAACGGAAGGAGGAGAAGAAGAAGGAGCAGCGGTCCGCGGAACCGCTGAACGCGATCTGGTGCAGGCATATCGCATTCAGGTGGTTCCGCGTAACGCACGCGTGGACTCGCCGGCTCGAGAGATCGCGTTTTTCCGGCGCGCGTAACTTTCCACCAGGTGGAAAGCACGGCGGAGCCGAGCGTGATCGGTCTTTTTCGCGGCGAGTAATAGTGAAGTCGATTCACGGAATAAGAAGGGTCAGGCGAAGCCTACTTTCTTCCTCTCTGAATTGTCCGGCGGCGGGCAAGGAGGGAGAGGGGGGGGGGGCGGAAACTCGAGTTCGGCACGGTGGAAACGAGCAGGTGGAGGAGGAGAGCGAGAGAGAAAGATAGAAAGAGAAGGCCGCCTCTTCGTCGACGACGGTCAGCCAGTATGTGCTGGTCCCGCGGAGTAGTGAATGTGAGGAGGCGGTAAACGTTTCGCGGCGCCGGTCGGTCTCCTGTTGCCTCGATCGTTTTTGGACGACTCGCACTTTTGGTCCCATGCGAGACCAGCCGTAGGCGATTTGTCGATCCCGCGCCACGTACGCACCTTCCTTCGGCTACGCATCTGCGGACGCGATCGCTCTGGATATCTGTCCGCTGGAATAAGACCGGAATTGCAGATTCGCCGCGGAGATTCGTACAAGTGAGTAGACGACCACCGTCTTTGCGGACGCTCAGCGCCGAGAGCGTCGGCAGTGACAAGCAAATCGAGACAAGTAAAAGGAAGGAAGGGAAAGGCATAAAACAATATGGTCGGCTCATACATAAATCTGGTTGTGCCAACTAGATTTAATAGTAAAATACGGAACAACTCATTGTGTGAAGTTGAATTCGCTCACTCTCCGTTCACTACGTTTCAAAGAAATTTATTTTCTGTTTTTAATTTTTTTTGCGTAGATTTTGACAATTCTTTGTGTCTCCTTTTTAACTTATTATGGGAGAACTTTACCATCTCGGTCGGATGGTACCACATCGTCCTTTGAAGCGTTGTGGTTTTTGACCTTCCTGAATGATTTTGGAGAGAGAAGAATTTTTTCAATTTTTCGTTGGGATAATGTCAGTGTATGCAAGTTAAAGTTTTATGAATGTGCGAAATATTTATTTGTATAATTGACTGCTAATGCTCTAACTGTAAAACTACATTACTGAAGAGAACTTAAAACGGGTCGAAACGTTTAACTTTTATAACATATTTGCGGTGATCAAATTGTTTGCACTTTTACACCTGCCTAGCCTAGGCTTTCCTGCCTAGACCTTTACACGCTATTTCTCATTTTATTATAACTCATTGTGTGGTTGCTGCAGCCACAGAGTGATTGCACTGAAGAAGGCATTTTGTTGTGGAAACGAAGATTTGGTACACCCGATCGTACTTTGGTTAAAATGAGACCAATCAGATGTTTGGCAATTGCAGTCGAAAAATTTCATTACCGTTATGTATGTTTTGCTTTTTCAATAGTACATGTACCCAACGCAAATAAAAAAACATGTAGTGACGTCAATCAAAAACTGTATGTTCGAAATATTTGAATTCCAAACACAAAAATAATTTTTTCAGCGCGCTGAATTGTAGTGACGGTAGTCAGTAGTCGCTGCAATCAGAATGCATCTGTAAAAGTCATCCCAACCGATATTTGATTGCCACAATCAGATCACGCGAATGTAGTTAATGCACCAAAGTAACCTAATCATATCAATCGTACACATTGCTGTCACGCAAAGATAACTACATGGAAAGAACGTTTAGTTGGATGAAGCAAATTTCTAGAGAAATATGAATGAACCTCAGAAACTTCCGCTTGAAGTTACCAGAATTCAATAGCTAGAAACTCGTTGAACAAAATTCTGGTATCTCAAGCGGAACTTTCTGGTTCATTCATTTTCACCAAGAATTTGCTTAACTCAACTAAATTTTTGTTTCGTGTAAGTTGATGCAACTATGCTGCTCGCAAGTAAATGTTTTCGGTGCTGAGCGGCATATCTATTTCTCCAGAAGAGAAAAGACGTATTGAGCAACGAACTAGAAAAGTTTCGGCAATTGCTTGCAGAATGACGAGGAATTCCATAAATCGCGTGTCCGTCGAGGCGCGAGCAAGTCGAGTGGTCTAATTCCTCGTCTGATGACCGAAAAAATAAGTTTTTAGTCCGACTGTAAAAAATAATTAAGAAAGGAAAAATAATTGGAACGGTGAAAAATAATTAGGAAAATAATTAGGACTGTAAAAAATAATTAGGAAAAATAACTAAGAAAGAGATAGAGAGACAGATAGATAAATAGGAGGAGAGAAAGAGAGAGATTAGAGTAGAATTTATTAAAACCCTGGAGCTCAATAATCCTCTAAAGTTTACAATATATAAAAAAAAATGAAAAGCACAAATAGAATGCCAGATTTAAGATGTGCATAAGAGATATAGATGACATGCTGTAACTTTTATGTTACGAATTCGCAGCAAATCGAAGCACTAAGTTAGAAAGCAGAAAAAATTTAAGAAATATTCAAATATTACATATAGAATATAATGAAAGTAAATGAACTTATTTAATTATCATCAGATGTCATTAAGTGAGATTATGCTTACAATAGTAAGTAGTACTTACAACTAGAAAACCAAAAATAGAAATGGAAGAAAAGAAGAGAGACAGAGGGAGAGGAAGAAAACGAGAGAAGGGGAGAAAGAGAGAAAAAGAGAGAGAGAGAGAGAAACGATCGCGATTGACAAAATTATTATTGATGTTCTTCGAGACGCGAGTGGATCGACTTGTCTGTCCTCCCGTCTGACTCTATTCTAGTCAGGGAAAATGATTAAGAAATAAAGCGGATGGAGCATGAGAAAGAGAGACAGGGGCAAAAGTAATTTTCCGATTTGAAAAATTATTATCGATGCTCCTGTCATTCCGTCAGGCTACCGATTGCAATTGGCAATCGGCGGTGAGCATCGATCGCTCTTGGTAGCACGCGGATAGCCTGATCGCGGAGACCTCGGCAAATCTCGGAGGGAATGATCCGCAACGTTGGTATCGGCGTGCAAATTGCATTATGCGATATCCGCGACACAGAAGCGCGCAACCATAACCCAGTTTATTGATTCGTGACGATTTCGTATCGATCGTGTATCAACCGTTATTCTCGTATCGTAAATGAAGGTAAAATTCGCATCCGCGATAGTCGCGCAGAGAGAGGAAGAGCACCGTGTTCTGTCGAGTATACTCGGGCGTTTCGCACGGACACCTTTGTCGTTACAGGATATTGCGTGAAAATCGTCATTACGTATCTTTATATGGAATCATCGGGATATGCGCTACGTAATTCTCATGGAGCGGGAAAGGCGCGCGTTTGGCGTCAAGGATATACTTACATCTCAAAAATAATGAGAAAGTTTTGGGAGTATTTTAAATTGATCCATATTACAGCTAAAAGTAATCACGAATAATTTGACATCGATTCAGAGCCCGGATCGAAAGTTGATCCACTTTGCGGTGTAAGCTTAGCAAACATGACGATGTAAAATGGCGTTTTAATGACGCATTAATTATGTTTGAATTTGTAACGTCAGTGATGCATCATTAATATATCATTTGACATCATGTCTCGTTACCTGGGAAGTTTTTAATCTCTCAGGTGCTGTCTTGAAAATATATGATATTGCTATCTTTAGTGAAAGAAAAAGTGATTAAAAATTAACGACAAAAATCTCTGTTTTTGTATACATGCACTTTAAGTATGTATGTTTATTATTTTAATTATTTACATGTACTTTAAGCATTTAAAATGCTTAAAGTACATGTAAAGTATGTTTGTAAAGTATTATCGTGCTTTAGAGATAAAAGTTTGAAAGTCAAAAACAATATAAAATAAAGTAGAGGAATTATAAAATATGATGTTATAGTAAGAATATATTGTTATGTATTGTTATTCAACTATATAGTATGTAGTATATGTATATGTATATATACATATGATAATTAATATATATATATATATATATATATATAAACTTATTCCGCATATAAAAACATTTTATATGGAATTATTTATATATATTTTACATATGTAAATATAGTGTATACACACTACACGTTTTTATACGGCAAGTAGAAATATTAGTGTATTTCCAATTTTCAATTACTTTTTGCAAGGACTATACGAGCAATATATCTGTAAGATATCTTTAATACATCCGCCAGCGTGTAATATTCAGCAGCGCGGGCATTGCACTATTATTCGCGTACCATTATCCATTATTAATCCCGTTCGCGGGCACATGAAATTGAAGTCCGTCACATGACACAGACCCGTATCTCCGTCTCGTAACTTTTTCATGTCGACCAGAACTTCGGTAATTGTGATACGTGCGACATTTGCTGCATCCGATAGTATTCGTCGCTCTACTTGTCGACGTCTCGTGACAGCTGTTTCGAAAAAGGACTGGACGTGTTCGATCAAAAGTGAACGCCAACGGAAATTTTATTTATACGTTCCACGCGAGGTTGTCATTTGCGTTTGTGCGATCGCGGTTCCATGAGTTAGTGTATTAGCTCGCCCCTAAAAGATTCACGGGTGGGTGGCAAGTGAGTGGGAGAATAAAAGACGCTGCATAAACTTCCCGTAGAAATTGCTGGGCCGGGAATTGTCCCTGTGAAAATTTCAGCTGACGCGCGCTCGAAATAACAGGAAATGTCGCGGACATATCGCGATGTTTCAAATTTTCACCCGAGTCCGCGAAGATCTGACTCTCTCTCCTCCTCTACCCTCTTCTCTCTCTTTGTGATGTCGAGTAGAAATGTTGAAGTCTTGCAAAAGTTGGTTGGGTCGTCGACGATTTCACTAGCTTGAAAGATAAGTTATTTTATGGATATGGGATCAGACAATTCCTTGAAAGATAGCAGAAAATAACAGATAATTGTTGTTTTTTCAAGTAATTTTCAAGTAAAAATAATAAAGAAACATATAATAGATAATAAAAATAAATCATAAATATTAATAGACAATTATTTTCAAGTCATTGTTTGATAAAGTAATAACTAGAAATATAAATAAATAAATATATATATATATTTATTTATTTGTATTTTTAGTTATTTATTTATATTACTGAATATTTATCAAATAAATACTTGAAAAAACAACAGTTATCTGTTATAACTTATAATAATATATATTATATATATATATATATATATATATATATATATATATATATATAATAAATGTCTGATAAATATCGTTGCATGATCATTAATAAAAGAGATAGAATTGAATGTTAACAAAGGCAACATAGTTGAAAATCCGATGGACTTTCGCGAGTGTCTGATGGACTGTAATCGAAATCGGGTTGAACGATCTGCATAAATTGTAGGCGAAACGTTGCAAGCTCGAAGATTGAAAGAACGCGAGAGACCTTTGATGTTACGTCGAGCCAAAGGCGCGCTCAGAGACAATAAAGCTTCACTTTGATCAGATATGGTGTGGATCAGATGTGGTATCTTTATGCCGTTATTAATAAAAAACATAAAATCGTTTTGCAAACCTCCAACAGATAGATCATAAAGAGTAGATAGACACCGTCGGGTGACACGCGGGTGAATCCGTTCGTTTCTCTGCGGTCAACGTCGCCGATAAACTCGTCGACGCGTACGAGGAT